ATACCCAAGCATCTGGTAATCAAGAAAACCTACTGCAGTGCTATTTGGACACACTCACTGAGGTCCTGAAAGCAGTAAGGTAAGGCAGCAGGGTACCATATGCTGGCAGATGTTTTACTTCTCCCCAGCGTTGGCACGGTGTTGCCATGATTCCATCACATTATACAGCTACTTCTCACCATCTTGGTATTCTTAAGACAAAAATGGGTGTCCTTAAATCCTGTTCCTCTTGAGGACTTGCCTTTAGGGAGGGTCATGCACCAACAGAGATGCTGCTATAGCAGCCCCACTGTGCTGCAGTGCCTAAAGGTATAAATACATCAGATGCATCTATCGGCTGCTTTGGTGCTAACTCAGAACAGGTGACATGACACTGCAGAAAGTGTGTGTGTGTGTGTGTGTGTGTGTGTGTGTGTGTGTGTGTGTGTGCAGGTTTTACCTCGCTCCATTTAAAATGAAGGCAGGGAAAAAATACTCTCTTACATGTGCCAGTGGTACCCATCCTGCCTCTCTCTCCCCAGATCATCTTCTCCCAATGGAAAACGCACAGGTTAGGGCACTCCCTTCAAGAACTGGGAACTCTCAATTTGATGCCCTTCTCTGACTGAAGGGGACTCACACACATATTTCACCTTTCTCTTTCACAGGTTAAAGCTGCAGTAGATGACAGGCTGTCTTCAATCCTTTTATAAATTGAGGGAAGCTCTTCTAATTAATTCTTTGGGGGGTGAAAGAGTGCCTAAAAGCAGATGTTTGGAGCATTCGTGTATGAGAGACAAGTATTGGGTCCAGGTCTCTATTGCAAGGACTGTGCAAGTGGACTGCCCCTGTCAGAGAGACCTACCTCCAGAATTAAAGAGTTGGAGAATCTAGGGTTAAGCTAAGTCATCTTCAAATACAGGTGACTTGATTTATTAAATCAACAATAAATGAAGCAGACCACCAGAGACTGAGAATTTCTCATAACTGTATGAATGCCTAGTAAGAAGGGCAGCAGTGCTAAATTCATTACTCAGTTTTGAAGTCATGAATGTTTGAATGACTAAGGTACTGAAATGCAGTAGAGGAAGAACATTAATTTTACAGATGGTAATGAATTCAAATCCAGAAATCAACCTTTTCCTTGCACTATTGTAAAAATATTTAGCATTTCCTATATACATATTTTATATCATCAAAGTGCTTAAATTTTTTAACAAATTATGAAATCCCCAGGAGAAGTACTTAAAGTTACATACCCCTGTGCTGAAGAGGAAGGAACTAAGGAAAGGAAAAAGGTTAAGTGAGTATCTGAGGCCAGAAAATAGGCAGCAGGAGGGAGAATGGGGATTAGGCTTCAAACACTCACAATTTTCAGCTCCCAAAACATATGCTCTCAAAACAAAAGGAAAAAAATTCAATCTGTGTATACACTTCTGCTGCAATAAACACAAATACACTTGGACACTTAAATACCACTGACACAGAGGTTCTGTGAAAAAGAGTTTAACAAAGAATGTTTTCCTAAGTAATATGGTAAAGAAGAGCAAAATAATAGCATCAGCTCATCTGGTTAGTATCAAATATGCTTTTATATTAATTCTTCCCAAAAGATAAATGCTTACAAGTAATGTTGCAACAAGGTTCTGCTATCGTACCATTTTTGTGGTGTCCCATGCAAAAAGATTTCCTGTCTAGTCACAGTGGGACACAACTCTGACAGGCAGGAAGGCCAAAGGAAGGGGGAAAGCTTCATAAGGTGAACAGTTATCTAAGGAGCACTTCAGGCTTCTTCTCTACAGACAAGGAAAATTTGGTTGAAAATCTGAAGGAAGAAAGTAACTGTACTGAAAGCGATAACAAACCTGTAAGATTGATCCTGAAAATTATATGCTCTCTGAGGAGAGGAAAGGAGGAAAGCAACAGAAAAGAATACCTGAATGGCACATGTGGAAGGAGCAGGAGCTGGGTGGAAGGAAGTCCAGATATATTCATTACAGCTCAGTGGGTTTTACTCAATGGCACTTTAGGAGATGTTAAAGATTTACATAAACTAGGAGCAATTATCCTCAAAAAGTCATACTGAAAGGACCAAAGAATGGCTAAAAAAATATTTAAGATGGGAGAGAAGAAAGATTTGGAAAGTTATAGCCAGTCTAACTGCAGGGACCAGCAATTGACTAGAAATGTTTAAAAATCCAGCCACCATCCCCTAATCCTCGTATCCTTCTGACATCGCTCCTGGCCATCTGAAATAAA